TCCATACTCCTACTAGTAGTGAGATACGATCCCCCGCCCACACTCACATCCTTCCTGTCATGGGCCTCGCCCCTACTCTGCTAATTTAGAGATATGGAACCCCATCCATACTCAGCTAGTGATGAGATACGGGACCTCACCCACACTCACCTCCCTACCATGAACATACAAGTCTCACATAGACAACAAGTATAATTTAACATACAACATAAGAATTTTCCTCGGGATTGCCCCAGTATCAGACCCCCATTCCGGAAACATACTATTATCTAACATACATTGGGCTTACCCCGACATCGGACCCTCGGTCCGAAACCTATCGTACCGACACATGCAAATATCACAAAGACCTCTAGCATCCTAACATTCTTCGGGCCTCGCCCGGCATCAAGTCGTAATCCGGAATAGATAAGAATAAGTGCCTAGGGTTAACCCCCAGGTCTTCCTTCTATTCATAAACATAAACATAAACATAATGGGCTGGCATTGTGGTCGTAGACCCATGCACACAGTGAGGAGACTCACCTTGCACTGCTGAAGACTAGCTGAAACACTTCTGACTGCCAACTGACAACTTCTGAACTGTTGATCCTTTAGCTCCCGGACTATCAAAACTCAAAATAAACAATTAGACCACAATACTTCGAAAAGTCAACCCAGGTCAAATTCAATGCTTTGAGTTGACTTCAACTCGCCGAGTTGGCCTATCAACTCGTTGAGTCCCACATTCCTCACAAACTCTGGACTTCGCTCCTACTCGTCGAGTTCTCCACGAACTCGTCAAGTGCACCTTCAACACATCGGGACCCTCCTTCATATGACTCGCCGAGTTCCTCCTCGAACTCGTCCAGTACGATGATCTTCATGTCCACTATGGACCCAGACTGGCTGAGTTCCTTACCAACTCAACTCATACCCTTTAACAGAAGGGTTTTGGGGCAAGAAAACGGTATGAATCGCCGAGTCCCTCTATGTCTCAATCTATCCAGATGATTTCTGAGGGTCTCAAAGCATCCAAAACATAGATCTAGACCCAACCACATCCTAACCATGCAAAGCTACAGCCTTTTTCCCCATTCATGGCCTTTTGAGCTAAAAAGGCCAAAAGAACACTTCATATGCTTGCATGGGGATTCCTATGGCATAAAGCTTGCACCTTTATGCCATAACAGCCCTTAATGGTGCTAGGTCAGAATACACAAGTTCTTGGGACGTCCATTCTTCTCATGCTAGGGTTCTTGGACCACCCCCCCCCCCCCCAAAAAAAAAATGACATAGAATAGATCTACATGCATAATGATCAATGTGGAGGCTTTCTTAGCAGAAAATGGAGGAGAATGCAAGAGGTTTCCGGATCTACTAGTCTTTTCTTGTATCCCCAAAGCTTCACCTTCTTCTTTAAGCTTCAAAACACTCAAGAATGCTCACAATAGCTCACAAACTCATGGAATGCACTAGGGTTTTGTTCTAGACTTGAGAGAGCATCAAGGAGGCTGATGAAGGGTGATCATGTTCCTTAAATAGGGTACAAGGCCTGTATTTAGGGTTTTCCTCAAACCTGACTAACTCGTCGAGTCAGTCTTCTAACTCGTTGAGTAGGTCACTAAACCTACGACCCAATCCGCGCTCCTACTCGTTGAGTCACCCCATCTACTCGATGAGTCACTTCCTTATTTTGAGGTTTTCTTTCCTTTCTATGCCTTCTGAATTCGGGGTGTTACACAGCTACAATACCTTATGATTGGAAGAGGCAAGGTAAGATGATCATTTAATAAAAATTTAATGAATTTCTGTTTTACAACATTTTGTTGGGTTAAATGTTTATTAAGGGTAAACAAATTTCATAACGGTATTTTAATATTGTTTGATCTAATACTGATATGCATTACCTAAATGCCGAAACATATTGCTACCTTTCTAGGAGTATAGTTGCTTTAAAATAAACCTTATCTCAATAGTTGTTTTAAAAATCCATTCAATCTTCTATAAATTAACATTTAACAATCTACCTTAATAGTTGTTGCCCAAACTTGCAAAATAACCTAAAAATACAAGTCATGCATACAAAATAACATAAATTGTAATGAGTAGCATCTCAATAGTTATTGCGCGAATTGGCAAAATAACCTAAAAATACAAGTCATACATACAAAATAACATAAATTGTAATGAGTAGCATCTCAATAGTTGTTGCGCAAACTCGCAAAATAACCTAAAAATACAAATCGTACACAAAAAATAACATAAATTGTAATGAGTAGCATCTCAACAGTTGTGTGAACTTGCAAAATAACCTAAAAATTCAAGTCATACATACAAAATAACACAAATTGTAACTAGTAGCATGGTTTTCTTACAAAGTAGCCAAATAACCTAAAAAAAAGTCATACATACAAATTAATATAAACTGTAATGAGCAGCACGCTTTGGTTTTCTTACGAAGTGGTTCTAATAATTAGCAAATAAAACATCTTACAGTCGATCACACAGAAATAGGTTAGATAATGCTTTAACAATTTTCTTGCAAACTTCTATTTTAACTAGACAAATTAGTCATCTAACTTTCCATATGGTGTTAATAACATATACCGATATACGGGTAATATTTATGTCCTTTCTTTTATAAATGTACAACTTATATCGCTATCGTTTTAATTGCACACATTAGTTTCTTAAATTCAATAATACTAATTAAAATGTACCGTTATTAACAACTATTGCATCTCTAGCCGGTAAGGTTGCTAACGCATCTACGATGAAAATTACTATTTAACCCTTCTAAAAAAAAACAACTTTCGAATGCATATTATTTTATCAGAATCCACAATTTATTTTCTTGCTTTCTAAGGGAACAAAGTTGGTTTTTTCGGGTTTAAAAGGTCCCTTTCGAAATTTTGAAGGGGTAAATCGGTTACTCATTTGCTATGTCACTAGATGAAATGCTAGATAAGAGCCTTTCTTATTAAATGAGGGCCCACCCTCTCCATCCCCCTCTCTCTCTCTCTCTCTCTCTCTCTCTCTTTCTCTCTCTCTCTCTCTCTCTCTCTCTATATATATATATATATATATATATATATATATATATATATATATATATATATATATATCCCACACACACATACACATAAAAAGAAACACGAGGTTAACAAGCCTCCTTGCTTCTTCTTGTTTTTTTGTTTTGGGCAGAAATCATAAGGGAGAGGGAAAGCAGAAAGATCAATGATCCAGGGGTGTTTGGTTGCTTTATTTGAAAGAAAAGAGAGGTAGAAAATGCGAGGTTGCTACCTCTTTTGTTCACTAGAAACCCACCTCTGGGTGGTGTCCTTCTTAGCAAAAAATGGAGAAGAAAAAAGTGTTTCAGGTGACAAGATGGGCTGATCAAGAGTGTAAATAAAGCTCTCTCAATGTTGTGATTTTCAGCTCAATCAACCCACTCATTACATACATGAAATTATAATGAATACAAACTTGTTGAAGAAAATTTTGATTCAATAATTTTATCGAACACTTGGTGTGCATGTAAATTGAATATTTGGGTCTCAATTCCTTGGCTAATCGTAAGAAAAAGAACGACAGGAAGAAAAAAAGAAGCACCTCCAGTGATTGATTTATTCAAAGAAGGAGAAACACAAAAGCAGCAAGTTATGTTATCAATTGATTCACTTCTACATTCACTCACCATAAAAATTAACATTTAGGAACTATAAAAGTTTAAAACATATTGGTTTTAAATGTCATGATTATTACCGTATCAAGTTATCATTTGGTTATAAATTATTTATCAATGATGTCCAACCTAGCTGGGTTAATGCACTGGGTTTTATACCTATGTGGGTGTGAGGCTGGGTGTTCGATTCCGTTAAACTACCTCTTATGGTGCCACATGCGGGGAAATTTTCCCTAAAAATCCATATGGAGGCTTTGCTCTGTAAAGGAGCTCGAACTCAGAATGCTCGTTGAAATATTGCAAGTAGGATTCCACTTAATTCATTTTTTGTTTCCAACAAAAAAAATTTTGTTCACCACTAATCATTCCTTCCTTGCCATTGCTCCTAAGAGGTGAATTTTAGAAAGTATAATTTGACATAAATACCTAATTACAACACCAGTTTGTCGTTTCCTAACGGTTAACCAGACCCCATCAATCAAATAAAATAGATATTAAAGCAATCAGTTACAATAACTTAGGATTGGAAGAGGCACGGTAAGATGACCATTTAACAAAAAAATTAAAGAATTTCTATTTTACAACATTTTGTTGGGTTAAATGCGTATAAAAATTTCGTAATGATCTTTTGATATTGTTCGATCTAATAGTGATATGCATTACTTAACCGTTAAAACATATTGCTACCTTCTAGGAGTATATTTGGTTTAAAATAAACCCTATCTCAATAGTGGTTTTAAAAATCCGTTCTATCTTCTATCAATTAACATTTAGCCGTCTACCTCAATAGTTGTTGCCCAAACTTGCAAAATAACCTAAAAAATACAAGTCATACGTACAACATAACACAAATTATAATGAATAGCATCTCAATAGTTATTGTGCAAACTTGCAAAATAACCTAAAACTACAAGTCATACATACAAAATAAAATAAATTGTAACGAGTAACATCTCAATAGTTGTTGCGCAAACTTGCAATATAACCTAAAAATACAAGTCGTACATACAAAATAACATAAATTGCAATGAATAGTATCTCAATAGTTATTGTACGGACTTGCAAAATAACCTAAAAATACAAGTCATACATACAAAATAACATAAATTGTAATGAGTAGCATCTCAATAGTTATTGTACGGACTTGCAAAATAACCTAAAAATACAAATCAACATACTAAATAACATAAATTGTAACAAGTATCATGGTTTTCTACTTACAAAGTAGTTCTAAGAATTAGCAAATAAAACATCTTCCAGTCGATCACAAATAGGTTAGATAATGTTTTAACGATTTTCTTTCAAACTTCTATTTTTACTAGACAATGTAGTTATCTAACTTTCCATTTGGGGTTCACAACGTATAACGATATACGGCTACCATTTATGTCCTTTCATTTATAAATGTACAACTTGTATCACTATCATTTTAATTGCACACATTAGTTTCTTAAATTCAATAATACTAATTAAAATGTACCATTATTAACGGCTATTGCATGTCTAGCCGGTAATGTTGCTAACGCATCTACGATGAAAATTACTATTTTACCCTTCTAAAAAACAACTTTCAAATGCATATTATTTGATCAGAATCCACAATTTTCAAACTAGCATTTATAACAAAGCAAGTTTTGTGCATCCAAAAGTTTTTATGGCTCTAAAATTCGAAACTGTAACCTAGCATGTTGCCCAGCTTCCTCGTTCAGGTTCCACCACCTGCAAAAAGAAAGAACACAATTAACACAAAATGTAATGACACAAATTGCTTCATCTTCTAAAAGTTGGTTTCTTTTAAGGGGTAAATTTCAAGTCTAAACCAAAACATACACTCAAATGATTCATCCTACATGGTTCATATCTATATGAATCAAGTCTTTCATCAGGTTTAATTAGACAAAAAGAACACGTTCTAACTTGATAGAAATTTAATTGCATAGGGGAAGAGTCTTAATATGCAACCTAATTGATTTGTCATTTCAAGAATAAAAAAATATGTTTATATTTGATTAAGATATAGAAGTTATAAGAACATTGCTTACAGGTTCTGAGTAAGCATCAAGCCTTTATACTTCTTCAAAATCTCCATCATAGCTTCGGTATATGCAGCCTCTTCTTTATCTTCAAAACCACCATTTTCACTGCTCATAAGAAACTCATTTCCAGTACCCTCAATATCTTTCATCTCAATTACACAAAAATATATCCCCTTCATCACATACCCTGAAACTGGCAATTTCAAAACGTGAATATAACAGTTCTGCATTATAGTAGGAACATTTACACCATTGAGCACAGTTTCCGAAGCTGAATGTACCCAATCCTTAACCTCGCTGAGTTTTTTCCCACTCAGAGAAAGCCTCCCTCTTCTCCCTGAATCGCTAATGGATACCTCTTCCAACATGGGTAGATCATTAACCAGGTATAACAACATCACATGCCATGCCATGATATCCTGCAGACACTGAAACGAAATAATATGCTTGGTCTTACACAAGCCACTGATTAACTCGAGGCTTTCTTCTTCATCCCCATTTCCATTAAGACAAAATCCATCCTTATCACAAACTGAATTCGGCCACACAAATATAAACGATTCAATTTTCTTCGTGAACTGAAGCTTCCATTTGAACAAACGACTATCGACACCACTATGACCCGGAGCTAGAAGTTCGATACATAAGGACTTCACTCCTTTAAACTTGATCAAAAACCTATAGGCAGATAGAAACGACTCACCGTATAACGACGAAATCATGCGCAGAAACGACCTACAATCACTGATGGTGTTGTTATCGGAAATGTGAGGGTTTAAGACTGGAGAAGCGAAGGAAATGGCATCGACTTGAAGTACAATCGAGGAGAAACGTTTGGAAACCAGATAGCAAAAACATAGGGTTTTCAAATCGATTAATTTGTTTAATATTAGGAGGATGATTTCGTCTGGTAAACGACTGATTGGAGACGAATCATTTGCATCTCCTTCGCCGGATTGCTCGAGGTTCCTCAATTTTTTGGGACAGAAAATCGACGGTGGGCTCATCGGACATTTTAACACCGAATTCTGATCATCCTGTTAACTTTTATATTGGTGATAAAAAAAAATATATAATAATAAATAAAAATTAGAATATAATGAGTAATTTCCAAAAATAGTCCATATGGTTTCAAACAATTTCACAATGGTCCTCCCATATAACACGTCAGAAAAGCTATGAAATACGTGTAAAATGAAAAAAATACAGTCATTTTATTATTTTTATCAATTTTTTATTCGTTAACGATTTACACAAATTAAAGACAACCACCAACTATAAACCATCAGGATACAGTCTATCATTAGCACTCCCTTCCCTCAGCCCCCATCACTTTCATTTGTTTAGGCCTTCTTGTATACACACCACGAGAAGGCTCGTGGTGTGCATAAACCTTATCGTCGTCTTCTTCCACCATCCTTTCATTCCTCAATCCGATATACTCACAACGAAGGAATGTAGTCGTGGTGGGTTTAAGCTGCAAGAGAGAAGAAAGGAAGATAAAAGAAAATGTCAGTGGTGAATTGTGGTGGCCAACACGAGAGACCACGCTCGTGGTTCCAAATCAACGCCACGAGAGATCGGGATGGTGTACAAGAACAACGATCGTGGCCACCTGGACCACCAATGGCTTCGTGATACCCATACAAGATGACCTTATCTTCTAGGCATATCTTTTGGTGACCATCAATAGAGAGCTGAGAATAAAAAAAAAACAATCACTCATTGATATTGATATATACATCATCAACACTAGATGCAAAATAGATAGCAGAACATTGATATAAATTCACAAAATCAATACTAGATGCATGATAAAGTACAAACACTAATTTATCTTTATGTTTCACATTTCACAAAATTATAGGCAAAGTCAAACCTAAAATTGAATATGATATGCACATCATCTCCATGTTTGATCCAGGCTAATTAAATCCCAAAACACAAAATCAAATATCAGATCACATCGAGCCTACAAACATGAAAGAGAAAATAAGTTTAATAACCACAAACATGAAAAAACAAAAATAAAATAGGAAAAAATTAATTGTTGTTGAGTTTTTGGAAAGAATGAACCCACAACCACCACGTGTGAAAATCATATCAAACCAAAAACAGTTGCATTTATCAATGGTTGCAAATTAATGGCAGACGAAGACAACAATGTGTGCGTACAATGGCAAGCTATGGCTGGTATGCGATAACAATAGATGGTGGTGGTGTCATGGTGCATAGTATTAGACGATAATAACATAAGTTAATAATATAGTGTGACAATCGTCAATCTTGAGTCAAGTCAAATCATCAAGTCAAGACCGGTCAACTCGATTAAACCTTGTGTATTAGGGTTTGTGTTATGTTCATACTGTATAACTTGCTATATTAATGAGAAACATCACTTGAGAAAAGTCTTGTGTTAAAAATTTCCTAAACCCTAGTTCTAATCAATGAACTAGAACGATAAAACAATGTTGCATACTCATCGGGAGTGTGTAAGATCCTTAAACAAGGCTTAACAGGGTTCACGAACCATACATTTCGATGTCGGACACTCACAACTATCCCACATGGAACCTCTCTCAATCGTTTCCACACTATCTCTCTCTATGTCAAACCTCTCCCAAATCTCTCTAAGTATGCGAAATCTCTCTCAAATATCTCTCTGTATTAGAAATCTCTCCAAGAATGTCAAATCTCTCCCAAATCCCTCTAAGTATGTGAAAACTCTCGCAAATATCTCTTTGTATGAGAAATCTCTCCAAGAATGTCAAATCTCACCCAAATCTCTCTAAGTATGAGAAATCTCTCTCAAATATCTCTCTGTATTAGAAATCTCTCCAAGAATGTCAAATCTCTCCCAAATCCCTCTAAGTATGTGAAAACTCTCACAAATATCTCTTTGTATGAGAAATCTCTCCAAGAATGTCAAATCTCTCCCAAATCTCTCCAAGTATGTGAAATCTCTCCCGAATCTCTCTCAAATAGTTCCCGTCACTTTTTAGAATCATTTGGGTCATTCCGACGCTTAACCGTGTCAAAAACAGCTTAAAACGGGGTGAAAACGAGAAAAATAGACATTAGGAACCGAAACCAAGAGAGAAGCCTCTTAGGACCCAAAGGTCCTCTTAGGGACTAAGAGCAAGAGGAGCCGAACCGAACCCTTCTGATGCGGAACCGAAACCTCCTGAGCCGAACCGAAACCTTCTGATGCGGAACCGAAACCTCCTGAGCCGAACCGAAACCTTCTGATGCGGAACCGAAACCTCCTGATGCCGAACCGAAACCTCTTGAGCCGAACCGAAAGTACTGTTCACCAAACGAACCGAAGGTACTGTTCACTACAGTACGTTCGGTTCTGACATTCTCGCCTCTTATCCCGAACCGAACCCCAATGACCCTTCGGACCGAACCCTCGCCCTCGCTCTCGCGTCTGACTCGCCCCTTTCGTTTCCCTCTGTCCGCTTCCGGCTACAGTCCTCAGCGTGGACCGGGTCTCGGCCTAGGGACCGAACCTCGGCCTAGGACCGAGAGGTCTCGCTGGGAACTCATTTTCTCCCGGTTTTCGCGTAGTTTTGCGTTTAAGGCCCGTTTTTAATTATTTTAACGTGGGAATTTCACCCAAAATCATATTTTAACATAATAAACCCTAAATATTCACAATTTAATCATATTTTCAAAAAAATCTTTATTTAAATAATGAAAGCAAGTGGGTAAAGTACAAAGAGGTGGAGTGTTGACTTTGCTTTACCTTCTAACACAAGCAACCACTCCCACACCCACTCTATGACCAGCCACACCCCCCACCTTACCTAGGTCACATCAATGTCTTTTCCACTCAATTATCCCTCTTTCCCACATTTTTGAGTGCTGAATATTCATCCTCTCTCCTCACTTCTCTCATTTGCTCTCATTTCACAAGAAGATCAAACTCTTTCCTCTCTCACTTTGTCTCTCTAGAAATTCGAGATTCAAGGGCTGATCTTGAGTTTTTCCTCCACATTTGGTAAGCATAATCCATTCTCTTTATGATTATCTCATTTAATTCCACTCAAATCATGGATAACTTAAACAATCTCTCTTATAATTGTGTTAGATTTTCGAATCTTCAAGTGATTCTTCAAGTGCTCTTGGGTTGAACACTTCTCTTCTTCAACACTTACCTACTGAAATCACTTAAGGTGAGTTCATACCCCTACATTTTCATGTTTTCTCAAGTTTTAAGGGGGGGAATACAAGTTAAAACACTAAGAACATAACTAAATTTCTCTAACAGCCTTCATCGGAAAAGTTCAACTCCATTCACGGACTGTTTTGGGTATCTTAAACATTTTTGTTTTCAAAACTGTACAAGGTGCAATTAGTTCAAGTTCTTAGCTTTAAAATGGCTACTTGCACATCTCCATACTATTTTTCTACAATTTATGGTGATTTTTACAAAACTGCCTATCATTTCAAACAACAATCTGGACCAGTCTGTGATTTTGGACTTATTCACTCAAGTTGGAGGTCATTAAAAATCGTGATAAAAATTATGAGTAAACTAGACACATTTTGTGAACTCTCAGAATTTATGGATCTAGTTTTCGACTTCGTATGATTTTTCTATGATTTTTACAAAACTGGACAGAATTGCTAAAGTTAGCCAACAGCATGTAAATATCATAACACTTTGTAATATGTTGAGCAAAGTGTATAATCATAAGTTCTAATATTTGAATGTGTTTCCTTGTTAGTTTATTATTGTGAACTGAAAATAAGTTATTCATATTAAATATTATTCATTCATTTAGAACACGTATTATGTAACTATAAAAAGTATAGTTGGATAAATTCACAACACTAATACATTTCCATAAAAAGAATTCATACATATTATATACATTTTAGATAAACTATAATAGGTATAGTTTATGATGCATCACTCAACACACTCGTACAAAAAGGGTACATTCATACAAGAAAGATTTATATCCACACACATTTCACGTAAACTTGTTAACCTATATTGTGAGACTCTATCTCTCCCCGTACGTCCGAGTGCGGGATATAATTCCTGGTAGTTATAATCAGAATCTCCTTGAGGGAGAACGTGATACTTGTATATAGATCTATATTGGGTTTGACACCCTACACCTTGCTGCTAGCTACAGTGGGACCTGCAGGTCTACGGGTGACAAATGTCATTTCATATTTGCGACGCCTGAGAAACATTGTGGCAGGTTCACATAGTCACAGTACGATTATAGCGACTCACATAGGGAGATAACAATTCATAAAGTTTACGAGATTTCTTAAAACCGAAGTAGGTTTTTGGTTGATTTAAAAATTTGCTTTCCATATCATTTCAAGCTCACGACATTTCCACTAAGTAAGGATGATTTCTCATACATTTTGGTCTTGGGTTATAAGGTTACATTTTTCGGATTTAAAGGAAAAATATCGGATTTTTCGGAAACAAACGCGACATTTACCTGTGAAGAACTTCTACTAAGTTTATTAATAAAAGCTTATGAACTCACCAACCTTTGTGTTGACACTTTTTAAAACAACTTGTATTCTCAGGAAAACACTAATCAGATTATCAAGTGCTTTTGAGGATGGGACGTTAAGGCGTCAAACTTTTCATATTTTGTCAACATATTGTAATTGATTTTGAAACATGTAATCCATACAAGTGATGTAACTTTTTCAATTATATATATGTTGGTTGTGTTGCTTAAATTACTATTGAAATTGTGGTTATGATTCTATACATGAAGTCCTCCACCTCCGGACGTTTCCGCCATCCTTAGTTTGGGGGTGTGACATATAGGATGTAGAGTGTAAATGTATCTATTATATATTCATGTCATATGTCTGTGATCAATACATAATACCACTGTTGTAAAAATCTCGACTAGGTCCCGATTAATCTCTGATTAATCCCTAGGTGCTACTCGACTAATTAGAGAGCGCATAGTGATTAATCCTTGCATATATAATGAGTGAAACACTATAAAACGATGAA